AATCAAACAGCAGAAGAAGGGCCCCTCGGGGAAACGGTTTATCACGTTCCATGACCAATCAGTCTGAGAGCAACGGGATTTTGGAGAAAAACTGATCTGTCTGCCTTTGAATAGGTAGCCAATACCCTACCTTACAGAACATGGCAGGTTTCATCGGTAAACCTCTAACATGGTCCGCGCAACGGCCCTTGGAATTCGGCGGCGGAAATTAATGCACACACCTAATACATAAAGATAAGTTTAGGAGTCGTTGAATGAGGTATGAAATATTCGAGTGCGCACTCACTTTCAATATGTCGGGATCGCTGTAGTCGACCATTCCGCTGGGAACCACTAGGGCTGGGCATTTTTCTGGAACCAAATACGAAAGTATTAATTTAGCTTGTTGATTTTTTTGTCAGTACTCTGTTAAGGAAAAAGGGACCTTGAAAGACTTCGCTCCCATTACTCGTGTACTTTGTCCCTCTATCCTCTTTCTAATATCTTATATGTTTTAAACAAATGGTTCAAGCTAACTTGAAATTTTCCGAAATCCGCCTTCATTAATTGGTGATCAATGATGGGCCATCAACACTGATCAGTTTTCTTCTTATTAGTCCCATTGTACAGTAGTTTCTCATACCACCCACCAGTAACATTCATCGCTATTGGAGAACATGTTCCAAGAGTGGGTGGGATCCAGGTTCCGTTTGAACACGAGGCAGCTGCAGGACCTGAACAATGAAAATGTCTTCACTGTCTCCAAATGTGAAACGCATGCAAAAATTCATATCGGTCCTAAGGAGTCTACGAACAGCCGTCAGAGCTAAGAGTTAGAGCTCTCACATATCACATAATCATTTTTCAGTTGCTCATTGATAAAAACCATATCATAGAACCCTTGATACGCCCAGTAAAGGCTTAGAAGTAGCTGCGCGAAAGGCCACACCCAGAAATTGCCGGATTTCAATAGCTATGTGGAGGATGCACTGATCACAATGGATCACATATGTTGGAAATGGATCGCGCGCTGACTCTCGAGGTGATGGAAAACGATTTTCGGTGGCTAGAACACTGTAAACGTCTTTTAACGCACTACACCCGACTGAAACACCATACTCATCGTCATGATCTCGCACCGAATTTGAAGTGTTGAAAAGCCCTACGTTCCGGTAATTCCAATTTTCATGCTTTCGTCATCGCCGATCCCTATTCTGTACTAACACTTTTGCTCTTCATCCAGATTCTTATCTTGCATCAACACTTCTGCTCTTCATCAAAAAAGGTACCTCAGAACTATCACCTTCAAGGAAAAAAGGTTAGCATGTTGGTGTTGTCTTAATCTGATGTGCATTTACAATCCAGGTGAATCGAAGCAGAGATAAAAAATCGTTGTAGAGAATCCCACGATCCAAAATTTCTCAAGCAAATTTCCTTCTTATCCTTTTTCAAGCCTACTACTGTCTTCTACAAGTATTCTGACCCTTCCTATGGGAGGCCTCAAACAGTTCAGGTGCCGCAACCTATAATTTCAAGATCCTCCAGACAATTAGATGCTCTACCTTCAACACTACCAGGGTTGCAATCCATAACGACTAGTGTCCCTGTTGGAAACGTCATTGCCGAAGCGCTGTGGTTCGAATAAGTTAGTGAAGCACCAGCCGGGGATGGCATACTAGGGCAGTCGCTGAAGACAGGTGCTGAAAGATTGTAGTCAGTTGAAAAACAAAAGTTCCAGGTATATCAGCGATCCTTACATGAGTTGGTGCAAATCTTCAGCTTGCAAAATCCAATGGGCGGCGTCCATACGCCATTCATGCATGTTGAATGAGACTCGCCATCAAGCTCGAAACCCCGATCACAAGTAATGCTGACCATAGAACCATCAGGTTTGAGCCACTAAAAATGACTTCTAGAATAAACTGGTTTACAAACGAATTCAGAACAAAGCTGTGTTATTGCAAAAATTAGTACGAATGGGGTGGTCTTGTACTTTGATAAATTGCTGTGAAATGTTCATAATGGACCAAAACTCATGATCAGATTGTCACGGGATGTTTCGGAATTAGATTTCTCGTCGAAGTTGGCCACCATCTCCCACTCCCACATATACAGCTGGAAATAACGTGTGTGTGTGATTTGTTTTGCCAATCTCACCGAAAACCAGCATATAGAGAAACAGAAAAGGATCATCAAAAGTGCTCATGATTGGTTTCTATAGAAAAACTTCTAACTTAAAAATTCGCCTAAAGCTGCCTACCTTTCAGAGGCGGTAATTTGAAAATGCCGCAACTCAATCATAAAACGTAGGCATTGATAATAAGAAGTCTTTATAAAATCTACTATTTTGTAACAGGGAAGGGTTGAAGTTCAGAAAGAGCTCTGAGGTCGAGAGCTTGCCTACGTTTACTTCCTCATTCAGGAAGAGTTTGATTCCTACCGAGACAAAAACCATGCTTGCAGAAAAATTGCAGAAGTAGTGTTGGTAACAGCGTCAGGCCAAGGTTGACATGCCGGTTGATAAAGAGACCCATACTCTACAATCACGTCTGAATTCCCGAGAGCAATCAAAAAAGAGAATAGAAGAGAGAGGTAGGACGTCACCGGAAATTAAAGCAGAGGATCTACGCCCCTAATACTGAGGACGGCACGTAAGGGCTACCGAGGAGTGAACGACCTGGGCGAATAACCCAATTCAAAAGAGGGCTCTAAATTGGGGGTCGTCTACCGGAAAGTTGAGAGAGATTACTGGTCTAGGAGCACGGTTGGGATGAATGAAAAGGAGAGAGTCTCCCGAGATCCTCTACGACCGACGGCGCTTCAGGATGCTCAAAAGAAAGGTGTACTAGACAATGGTGACATGATGCTGTATGACAGCGGATTGTGGGCCGTAAGTAGAAATCGTAAAACGTAGATCCACTCCGCTGAAATTGGGATACTCAGGTGGGTTTGGGGCTTACACGCAATTGGAGTTGATCAGAAACAAGAAGGATCAGAAGACGTCATGACTTTCACGCGAACGGTTCCTGTTCACCTGAAGATGCACTGATGTCCTCTGAGATCGACCGCGAGTAGCGCCAATGATGATTTGAATACGTACTGACAAGAGCTCCGAATCAGCCAGTGATGGGGGCATTGGTGTTTGACGCTCAAAGGAAACAATCACGAGGAGCCCCAAGCAATTGGTTGCGGGACGTGATCAGGTAGGACCTTGGACCTTAATGAAGCTCAACTCACGGAAAAAGGTGCCATAGCTGGAAGGGATCGGAGAAGGCGGATAAGATCAGCGACCCTGCGACGGTGCGTGTTTTACGCTAAGGAGAAAAGATTAAGAAGAGTGATTAGTCGGAATCCAACTGGTTTCCTAGAAAAATTGTTATTCACTCGGTGAGTGCAAACATTCAGGCCTTGCTATTCCCCATGAGATACTTCAGCACTTGAAATAAGTGCATGAATGCCTGAATGAGACAGACTGTACGCACAGTAACCCAAAATTTAAAAGAGCAGTGAATGCAGAGCACAGCCTAAACATGAAAGACAGGAACTCGATCGCTCAGGTCTCTTTCGAAACAACTACCCTTATGTTCTGTTCCATCACTCTTCCCCTAATCACCATAATCTCACGATAGAACGATCTTATCCACTCTATAGTAAGTCAGTGGAAATGGACGACATGGAAGAGTGAGGCTCTTCTGTAACTACCTAAACTACTTCGAAAAAATAACACACTTCAGACCTCATCTGTACCATTACGGTCGTTAGTGTCATAGGTGGCTGTTCCACCAGCAGCGATAATCGGCGGGCATTGAGTGGGTACTGAAATGTCAAAAGCTACAGTGAACAAAGTTCTTCATTATACTAGTTTCCAGAAAATCTTTTGCGGAAATGAAAACAAACGTGAAATGCAACTGCAGCTTTCAGGAATGAGCAAAACCCACCACGAGTTGTTGACGCTTCGGTATTCGCCTTGCACACACCTGAAAATAGTCACCACTCCTCTACATAATTCTTCCAGATTTTCAGCATGGTCCACTGAATACCAAGGGACACTCCAGAGCGGTAAATCTCAGATGATTTCATGGTCCTAGCGGAAAACGGTTTCCCCTTGAACAACCGGCCCTGTTAGACGTTGGGCCTCATCAAAGCCCACTTTGAATAGGTTCAACATTTCTAGAAAGATTAGGTTGGTCCACTTCATACTGAAGAAAATATTTAACTTCTGAGAAACATTTCTAGCTTCTACACAAAATGGAAACCGAGTTTTCAAAGTGAAATTTCTCCACAAATTTTGTTGTAAATGGATATCTTCTTACCTAGAGCGAGTTGCCAGTTGCCATCTTTGCAGAGGGTGATTGATATTCCTTCCAGGTGGAATCCCACGTTGCACATCACCTGCGCAGTCGTTCCATCAGGATATCCTCCTTCCATCAAAGGAAGACTGTAAATTACCGCTCCGTCAAGAACGGTTAACGGAGGGCAGTTTATCTAAATTCGATGAATATAATCGGACAACCTCAAGAAGCTACAGCTCAAAAAGATAAAACGAATTTCACTTTCATTCAACCTGGTGAAGTATATAGCAGGTGCATGACTGGGCGCCTCTACGATATATGTACATACATGGTCCAGAGATCATATCCTTACCAAATGCGAACAACCATACGAGCAACAGTCAATCCGGTAGCGATCAATCAGGTCACCCACGCTCATCATTGCTCAGAATTACACATGAGCGCTTTTATGGCTTTGAAGAGGAAGCAGGCAAAGGGGAGCACTTCAATGCAAAATCTGTTAAGGCATTAAAACATACATGAGAGCTTTAAAACTGAAAAGCGATAATCTTCACCGAATCTGAGATGTTTATTATAGCATTCGACTTTTTTCAATTTTAATGGTCATAAACCTTTCTTAGACACCTTTAGCTGGTGTAAAGTTGCTTCCAGTAGCTAGTCCAAGGTAGTACAACAATCGGAACGTCGCCTTCTACCAGTGTACTGTGTACACTTTTCATGGCAGCTTATAGGACAAGCTAGTGTCATAATAAAGTCTTCTTGAAAAAAGTGCGGTATTGCGGTTCCTGATTTGGCCACAAAAATGTGGTGCAAGGCCTTGGTTAACAAGTCATTTGTGTATTACCGCCGTAATGGACGCTGCCGACCTGAACACGTATTTTACAAGTAGTGTAGATGTAGCCTAACAGGTGATAATGGGGTGGTTCGCTCAAAATTGGGGCCGATTTCATCGAGTGGTCGACTTTTTTCAGGAATCCTACAGAGTATGGGACCGAAAGGGTTACGGGACATATTTCGGCAAATTCGGAACGAGAAACCGAATTTTGAGGAAGCATCGAACACGACTCAATCATGCAATGAATCAAGCTCTTTTCAGAGCTCACTATCTCGAGGATTACTTGTTAGATTATGGTAATTAAGTCTGAGCATATCGCTGGGCGCAAAATGAGGAAGACACCCTTCATAACCGAAAAGATAATTGGGTCGGTTTTGCCAGGAATTGAATCCGAACGGATTGGATCACGGTTATTTTTATGTCTTGTCGTTCGCTCTAGCTTCTCTTGTTGTTTCGCTTTCCAGGTTGTTTTTTTCCGATGAAGATAGCTTAGCTGTGATTTCCATATGGCAATCGGTTTTAGTAGCATGATCAGAGAAAGGATAAGCTTCAGCTGTTTGGACGGAACTTCAAGGGAGGAGAAGCCATGGTGTGGCAAGTTTTCTGGCAGATGCCTTCATTTGTAGTTTGATCAGAAGAATCTCAACTTTTCTGATTGAGTCGCAGTGCGCCGTGCTTTTCTTCCTTTCTTGCGTCAGAGTCGGCAGCAGAACCTCGTATTCATGCAGGGTAATGCCCCTATTCACGTCAGCGGAGCACCCAGGCCCGCTTTAGACGGCACCATATCTACCTTTTGCACTGATCGGCAGTCTCGACTTGATCCAATCGAAAAAGTATGAGAATACATAGTAAGGAAGATTCATGAGTGGAAACGAGCAAGTCGGAAACATAAGCGAGCTGATGAACGCAATCTCCGATGCTTGGCACCAAGTTGACCACGAACTCATTGATAGCCTTTAGTTCAGCTTGAACGATCTATTTTATCGTGTTTTTGGTTCGAAGAAATGGGGGCTCAATGGATTATTAGTCGCGCAACTTACTGTTTTTGTTATCTTCTAGCTGCTGCATAAATTGATTTGGCCAGTGGCTGTATTATTTCTGAGCATACCCAAAGAAGCCTTTTCTGAAAAGATGAAAGGAAAATTGTCCATTTTCTTGAGATGGAACTCGCTGTTGGTATACAAGTTACTGTCCGAATAGGGCACACTTCTCGTACTGAGATTTTTCCTGAAGTGCCTTGAAACTTGAGGTTTGGTGAAATCCATAGATGGCTGTATAATTACTGAACGCAGGTAATTTCTGGATCATGCTTGTTGTACTTACTGCTCCAGTCATCACCCTCACTAGATGCATATGCATGGAGGAATGCAGGTAGTAGTTTAACTCACCCCGCTTGCAACTCCGACCAGTACTACTAAGATGGCGACTTTCTGCATGACTTCTGTAAATTAACATGAAGAATCGTCGAGAATCTTTGAAACTTAATCTAAAGGGGAAATGGAGATCGATTGAGGCCATAAAACTAGGCAGAGAAAAGCGAAATCGAAAAGTTCAGAAGCAGGGTAGCAAATCCCTCCACTATATACATTTGTACTGCCCTGATAATCATGTACTTTTTCATGGGGATGAGCGATATCTGGTTCGTTTGTAGTTCATGCCCTTTTACGGCAGCGCTGATACTTCATCTGCAGGGTCATACGGTTGGAGCAAAATGTAATTGGAAGCATAAAAACGTTGGACCATGAAAAAAAAAACAGTTATTTTGCAGTTCCATGCAGGGTATGGGGGCCGGAATACAGATTTCAACGATCTGAGATTAGTGTGGGACCTAATAAAACTTGCAGAGAAGGTAAGCTCAAGTAGTCGCAACAAGTTCACAATGGATACAATGAGTCTGTCATAAGCCTTCCATGCAGAGCAACTACCATTAAAGGAGTTATATCCCTTCAATGTATTGTAGCTTTAAGAGCAGGCATCTATTGCCAAGATTGGCACTGGCCAGCTTTCTTCTCATGAACCGCGCTTTTTAACTTCTTCTAGAGCTCAAAGCCTTTTTCCATACTTTTTTCGCCTACCTCAACCTACCGCCTACCTAATATTTTACGTGAAATAAGCAATATTTCCCAATAAACTTGACAATCAGATATTGACATTCTGGCATGTAACTCTTGTTTGCCCTAAGTCTTCTGCTTTCCTCATCCTCTTTCTTTTCCCCTACACCTCATCGAGAATTTTTTCCTCCAAAGAGCGATTAGCGTACGACTGGATGGAATCGGCTGTGTCGTTCGACTTTCCTTTCAGAGGCGAGAAGCCGCTGATCATTTATTTCTGACTGTCCTGTTGAGCCTACGGTGTGGAGTCAGTTAATGTTCGTCAGAGATACCGAATTTCAAATCAACAGACAGACTTAGTGAAGCAGTGTGTGAGGTCAACGACATTGCATGTGAACATTGTTCCTCAGCTGCCTGTGGTAACAGGAACGAAAATTCAGTCCGGCACTCGGTTCTTACAGTAATCCNNNATAAGAAGTCACGACAGGAAGCGTATTGCTTTATATAGTCTGCTCCAAAGCAAACAGCAAAGAATTTTCATCTGTCCGTTCCCAACTTCGTCCCTTCTTTGACAACATGTTTTTCACTAACTCTTGACGCATTTGAGTGATCTATGAATGCATGTACTTCACAAAAGGCTTGTGTGTGCTCATTATTACATTTTCTACTTCTGTCAGCTTTTACAATAAGTTTTCTCGTACGAATGGGAGAGGAGAACTGCGCCGCCAGCTCATGCTCATAGACTTGAATTATTTTTTGTATGGAACAACATGGCCAACCTAATTTCCATCGGCCTAGAAGCATTGAATCTAGACTACCAAACTCATACACAAGGCTAGATTGGTGGCTCGTAAAAAATGTCCGATATCCTTTGGTCTCTCTATATAACGAATACGACAAATTCGAATATCGAAAGGGGGGTCGAGCCATGGCATCTTTCGGAAGGAATAATGAGCCCTGTGTGGAGCAGCCATTCACTTTTTCATTAGGACCATGAAATTGCCCAATAAATCTCGCAAAACCTCACCAATCGGGATTACTTTTGATTATCCGGTAAATCTCTTTTTTTCTTTTTCAATCAAATAACATAATGATTTTGAGATTACATGAGCTATAGACTTTTGATCATGATTTCTCGTCAACAGTCATTTCACCATGTAATCGTTGGTATTCCGCCTAGGATTAGGATGGATATCCGGATTACGGTTTCTGTCATGGTCAGTACAGACCAATTAATGTCAGTGTAACGTAGTGTATGTCTATGGAAATGAAGGGCGAATTGAGAAACTAGGGCAAATGCTCGTATCCGAAGTGGAAACGAATTCGTTGATGGAGAAATGACTTATTTTTCTAAGGCATGTGAATAACCGTTTCTACCGCCAACTACTACAACATGTGAGCAACTATTTCTACAGTGGGTTCGAATTATCAGAATGCTTCACTCCTCTTTCCAGTAATGTAAATTGTTAATGCAGGTAACTCGAAGTCAAGATTATTTCTTGTGGTGGTCATTCGATGTTCATTTGGGGGCTTTCACCCGTACAGCATCCAGCAGGTTTGGTGCCATAAACTGACCTGAGAGGGACGAATGTCCTGGTTACCTTGTGCGAATGCCAACCCAGGATTCGATCCTGGGCGAAGCGTATAATGAAATGGATTTACTATCAAAACAGTTGAAACTTCAATGTTGTATGCTTAAAGGCACAGTTCACGATAACTTCGAGGTATCCTTCTAAAGTCGAAAAGCTGAAGTATTGTTTGTGAATAAAGCATCGGTGGTGAAAGCGAGAAAATTCGCCGATTTGCCGAAAATTATGGCTTCTCAAAACTAGTGAAAACAAAACAGAGGTTACGATGTTGTCATGGCAGAAATGAGAGGGGAGGGGTGCTTGGACGAGATTTCAGTTGTTACAAATTAGCTGACTGGAACTGTCCTTCCACTGTCACCATGGGTCATGACAAGTTGTTCGAGCATGGGTTCTCTTGTGGCTGATGCTGACTCCACAATACCGTTGAAACTTGTCCGTGCATACACGGGACAATCTTTGGGCCTTTAACGCCCTATATAGCCTTTTCCGACCTGACAGCGTCACACATAGTATGGCCACAGATCTCATAAGCCATTTTTATCGTAAACTGTGCATTTAACTACAGTCCCACCTCTTTTGCTGTTGAAAGATGGGATAAAGAGAGCTGCTTCAAAATGTCCATTATAGGCATTTTTATCGTTTGTCATATTGTTGTGTTTTTGTTATGTTCATTGCTCATTCTGCAAAACTGGACCCTCAAAATGGAAATGAAATGCCAAGCTCGACAAGAACGCAGTAATCCAAACAACATGTCTGGGAAGTTACTACTAGTNGAATCACTAATGACTTTCGACTCACCCATAATCTTCTCACAAGTCGGCTTGGCAACAATATTGAATAACACATCTTTTGAACTACACACTCATTCAACAAGGAACAGGTTTAATCTTACTTTGCTACTTAGAGCTGTGCGCAGGGTTTTGAATTCAAATGCGTAAAACTGTTGTCTGTTCGTTTCCTTTGCCACGTGTCTTGGACAGGATTCTTCGTCTTATGAGGGCTATGACTATTTTGTTCGGCAAGCCGCGATGGGAAAAGGGGGACGATCTTTCCCCTTGGAGACAGTACATCTACGACCATTCAACCGTAGCCAGCTTCCACATCCCGATGTAGCGTCCGAGTTTGACTTGCAATGAATCTCAGCATCTTTTTGCTAGGCTTTTACATCTTCTCTTCATAAGGCTGACATTTTTACGCTTTTGCCTTCTTCGGAGCATTGGAAGACGTACTAACACCAAGCTTCAACAGGATGTAAGTAGTGCAGCTTAGGACCTTCCATCATGCTGGTCAATTGATTTTTCTGATTTATTAGGTCTTTGAAAGTATCAAAATGCTCACTGAAATCCCGGCTAGATTCCCTCAGTCGCTGTATGAACCATAGGTTATATTACCCTCTAGTTAAAGTCGTTGCTAATCACTCACATACAAATCACTTGAACATTTGCAGCCCATAGCAATTTATAATATATCAGAGCTCTAGCTGCTTTGAATGGATTAATCAAAGTAATCTTCGATGTCAATTTGTGGATCGAGAAAGTTTTCCTCTATTCTTTCAAGATCAGTCTTGTTCAAAATAAGATTCTCCATGGTCTCCTGAAAATATTAAAGTGATTTAGGTATAAAGCTCAGCGAATAAATCATAACGAAAGGAAAATAGGAAACAGTACCTCGAGATCTGTTTCTCCAACAAGAACAGCACCAACTACTCGGTGATTGAACATAATGCACTGAACAAACTGATCATCTTCGATAACTCTGAAAAAAGGGTGAGATGGAGTCATTATCATTTTGTGGAAAAAAAAGAGTGGAGTGTGTATAATACTCCAAAACTACGATAAACACTGCAAATAACAATAGGACAGTGGTCTTTATTTATCTCACAACTTCCAAAAGCTGTGCTGACCCTTTTTCTTAGGAGACGACGATTACAATTTCATGAGTGAAAATGTATCAGAAAGATTACCTTTCGATTGTGTACCATCCTTCCGGTTGCCGTTCAGCTTTGAAATCTCCAAGAAATACTACCTTAAGACAACTTCAATCAGTTGCTATGCTCATAACCTCTTCAAATCCTGATGCAATAATCAAAGCAGAGGGCGCACGAATGACATGTATCTTCAAGAATTTACTCGATCTATATGAAAGTTCTCTTATTACAGCTAAACTTGGTTTTGCCTTTTTCTGGAACTTGACAAATTTTCGATTAATTGTTCGCGTTTCCTGAAATAATCCTTCAAACTACGTTTTTCAACCTGCAGTGATATGCAGAAACGAGACGGCAAGATTACAGTTAAGTTCGGACTCTTTTGGAACACTTCCAACTGGAAAATCTCCTACCTTGTAACCAAAAAATGAAGTAGTATGAGTGAACAATTCGAAGCAGAAATCTTTCTCAACATCTCCATTCGACATCATGGATCTAGCGCAATAGTCTCCCATTTGTCGCGCTTGTGTCCAGAGTCGCATCTGAACTTGACAAGCGGCAAAAATTGTGAAGGACAAATCGTTCACCATTTTTCCATTATTTGCTTTTTCTTTCTATTGCCAATAACACTTTACAAAGATGAATTTAGGAAATTTGTCTAAGCGGCCAAGTGGCATAAAACTCTCGACACTCCTAAGGAGCCAGGAATTTTTCAGTTTCACTCAGATCCAGATCAGATCAGTTTCTTAACATTTTTTACAAAAATTGAAATACCTGCTTCCAATTTTCTGAAGGGGTACTCCATGATACGCTGCACACATCGCCGCAAGCATATACTCCAGGAATAGGGGTGCGCATAGCATCATCAACAATTATTCCCCCATCTACAGGAGAAATTTGCAACTAAAAAAGAGAAATCAGAATTAAGCAGAGTAAATTACCGAACATACAGACATTTCCTACTACGTAATCCGTTGGCGAGAAAGTTCTGCGACAAAAAAGTCATTTTGGGTTCACTTCAGAAATCCCGGACTAGTCGAACATCTTTATTATGCACAACGCGTCTATCTGTATGTCTATCTATCTGTCTGCCTGTCTGCCTCTCATTTTGTTTATTTGTTTGTACGGAGAGGGATGAGTCAACAAGTGAACTGAAGAAGACTCAAGGTGGGCGGCGAAACTTCCCCCTAGTGGGCGGTACATTCCACATAACTACACAGCGCGATTTGAAGCAGGGGTGGAAATCAGAAAAAAAGCAGTGAGCAATGCCTTATGCGTACTAGGCAGGCATAACTTTGGCGAAGCTTCGCGCACGATGGGCGGTGCGTGCCTTTGAATAAAGGCTGACTTTTAAAAACATGTATATTCCTGTTTAGAAACGTTCTAGAAAGCAGAGAAAAGGTGGTTTGAGCTCAAATAAGTATGGCCAAGTCTCTGAAAAGGGCGGGGCATGCACCAAGGTGGGCGGGGTTAGGATAAAAATTCATAACTATTCTTAAAAACGCTCTGCAATGCGGAGAAAATTGTTAGGGACTAAAAGCTTAAAAAACCGCTAAAAAAGGGTAGCCAATTACCCCATTGGGAGGGGTCTGCGCTGAGGTGGACAGGCTATGCCCAGCCATTGAAATGAAAGAAACATATTTGACCATCCTCGGGAAATGGAGAAAAATTGATCGTTCATAAATGAAACCAACTTTGTCACAATTATCCGTCCAAATGCTCGTGGCTGGAACTACACCAGTAGCCCAAATTACGCAGTCACATTGAACCTCGCATCCATTGCTGAGGGCTAATTTCAGGCCACCGTTGAAATCTGCTACGTTTTGAACTTCGACATTACGAATAATTTTTAATGAACGACCCTGAAATAATCAAGTTAATATAGCATGCGTGGCAATCTTTCGCCCTTTCGCTCTCATTTGAAAATAAAACTAACAATAAGAAAGCAACTGCTCGAAGTGCTCATTTCACGCCCAAACGCGGTAGGTCCGGCTTAGCTTGAAAAGAACATTTAGGGCAACTGTTTGTTACTTTTATTCACAAAAGCAATAATAGGCGAAAACCGAACATAATTCTTATTTAAGTTATAATGGCTGGAAGTTGGGCCAGAGGTGATGTGGTAGCAGGTGATGCGCATGATCACACTCATGATCGAATCCTAAACTGATAGTTGCCCAATCAAGCAAGCCTACAGTCCTCCGTCCTTAACTGGAACCGGATTCATCTATGAGGATGAACCTCTGACTTGGTCACCGGCCTGCCATGTGTCTTTGTTCAAAGGATTGGCTCTCTCAGAACTCGACCATTCTACCTGCGTGCGTGCCTGCAAGGTAGCATCGTGCGTGTGAGCAAGCGAGCGGTTATGTGCGAAGCGGCGCTAGACAGGTGTTGACAACATTGGACGCCAATGGATCACGTGCGAGAGCTGTCAACAGGTGAAGCACATAGTCGCTGGCTGCATGCACGCAGGTAGAATCGTCGAAGTCCGAAAGCAGCCATTTACGTACTCGAAAAGCTACTACGAGCCTGAAAAGAAGTGGAACGCGTAGAGCCAACCCGCGAACGAGATTTACTGGAGCCAAGAGGCTTCCTCCTTTTCATCCCTTCATGATACAAGAAACGTTTAGTGCAATGAAGACCTGTAAGAGGCTGATAAGATAGCATACCTCAGAACAATCCTTGAACGAAAGAGATGAAATCCAGTCAGGACCAAGAGCACATCCAGCAACCTTGCGCGCAGTCTTTTGCTCACCACACTCGTCAAGGCAATACCGTGGCCGTCTAAGTACACCAGCGGTCTTCGCACCTTAACGGTAGCTTTCCAATAGATATACACGAAATTGTATGTACAATTTGATCTGAAAAAAGAAGGATGCTCCAAACTCAGTACAGGTCGGCATTTAAGGTGACGTTTGAGTACTGTCGGTTCTCTTAGCACTACTGTTCTTGCTACCTGGCTTCTACCCTCTTGTTTTCCCAGTCTGCCTAGGTGATTGAGAAGAAATCTCTTCTATAACCGTCAATGTACTCCATTCTGCCGCTTTCTCATTGAAGGTCAATGTACTCCATTTTACCGGTTTCATATTGAAACCCCAGATGTAAGTAGTGCAATACAACTAGAGTTGGAACAATTTCAGGTAAGAAGAAAGTCAATTTTTAATCGAAAACATCAAAGGTTCATACCTTCTTGACGTCCAACTTCAACTCTTTCCTTGAAGAACTCCGCAATTGATGGATTGAAGAATACTGAAGAAATTGAGTCATCACGAATTATCCATGTAACATTGACACCCTTGAGTTCAAAACTGTAAAGGTCGATGAACTGCCTTCTAAGATCCAACAATTTCACGGTCTTATGGAAGACAACTGGCCACTTACACTACTTCTGTAGCTATACCTCCATTACCCACGACAGCCACCTGCTTTGCTCCTTCCAGACGATGCTGCAGAAGTTCAGCCGATTCCGTATCGCGGATAGTCAGAACCTTAAAAAACCTTTTCAGAAAAAAACTCAGGCGTTTATTAGCGGAAAATTTTCCAAATGCAAGAGTCGGTTTCACTGATCCCTTTCATGAACGCAAAATACAAACAGATAAAAGAGTGTAGTTGATTCAGCTTACAACTATTCCAGTCCCCTTGCCCCACCAATCCACCTTCTCGACCTACTATACTGTTACTGAGTACAGCCCAGTTCAAAGAGATCAAGAGAACGCTTAAATGTCTTTGGAGATTCGCGATCACTTATAAAAATGAGCAGAAGATCATAGAAAATTGGAATTCTCACTTTATCATTTAAAAATGGCGTACATGGCAGCGCGCCAGTGGCTATACACAACCGGTCATACTTCACCGAGTCGCTTCGATCACTGAGGAACAACTCCTGAAATGAAATAGACTGTTAAGATCCTCTCATAGAAACAAATTGAATTCGATTGATGACAACGGGGACGACCAGCATAGATGCAAAGCATTATAAATAATGCGTCGAAAACAGAAAGCTCTCTTTCAGCTCCCTCGAGCTCAGATCCTATTACAATTTACAGCAATAACATATTCATCATCATATACCTTGGTTTTATAATTCCAACCAACTACTTCAGCTTGGATAAAAAGTAATCGTGGGTCGTCTGATACCATCTCGTCTTCGTTGACATCAAACTGTTCAGTGTATTGCCCAACCTAGAAAGAATGCTGGTCAAAATCGGGACCGAAGCGCTACAAGATGGTAGAACAATCCTGGGAGAACTCACCATCCTCCATTGCGATACCGTTTTCACTCGTTTACTAGCAGAGATCAAGATGATGTTATCGGAGCTATGAAGGGATACAAGGAGCTGTCTTAAACAACTCACACCGGCAATCCCACCACCAACTATCACGTAGATCATCCTCGCCTAGAAATACTGAACTCATTACTTATCTGCTGGCTGAACTAAAAGTATCGTAGTCTTGAACAGAAAAAATCAGATGGTGTTTCCAAATAAAGGACTCACCTGTTTTTACCGTTTCATTTACAGTAATCCATTGAATTTCATCAAGCGTTGCTCTGTGGGACAGATCTGAAACAGAAGCGAAGTAGAAGCCAACTTCACGCCCGATAAAAAGGTTCTTAGCTCAGCTATTCGTATGAGAGAGGAAGGATCTAGACTACTCGGGAATCATTCCCAATCCCACAATATATCAAGGATCTACACTTGTTGCTCCTTCGCAATTTTAGCTGACTCACAGCACATAGATAAACACATACACGAAAAGCGATTGAGATAACTGGTGATTATAATCTGTTTACACTAATCGTCTGGTAAATCTCAGATGAGCGAGAACAGGTGACGAAATACATGAAACACATGAGCATCTCTTCATCCTCCACTAAGGGACGCAACAAGAGAAGAGAGCTAACCCTAAGACAGAGCCGGACCACCAACAGACGAGACACCCAACACACGGCGCAGCCGTTCCCGTGCTTACGGATGATTTCGCGCCCCAAAGCTAAACCGTACTTGAGCGCCAATGTTGTTGCTTCTTTGAGTTCTGGCACTATGCCAATTTTTCAGCGTTTGTTGCGAATCGGAACTCCTGGGCTGTTGTTTACCGAAGTTGTTGTTTCGAAAGTCAAGGGCGCTTCTTTTTTTCGTATTGAACATGATCTGATATTCGTTTCTTCGTGAAGGACTACATGTGTGTCATTTACTTCGTTCCTTAATTTGTTTATTGTTTACTTTTCGGAAATGTTAATGTGAAATCAACAAATCTGATCTCTGGCTTTCGCTATAGTAGGGGAGCTGAGCTCTGCTTGTAATTTGAGCGGAATCGTTCTTCAAGTTGTAGGTGGCTGTAGTATTCTGCTTCATGCAAAGCTTTCGTGCGAATAGTTTGGATGTTTTTTTGGCCTTTTCAATAAGATTCTTATACGCTTGCATATTGTTATTGGTATAATGAGAAAATTTTCAATATTCGAGTGACGTTACTTCTTCCTTCACATGTAGGCTTGAATTAATGTGATCGAAATGTGTAATTTTCCATTCAGATCATGGAGTTTTTACGCACCGAGGGCGAAGATTCGGGTGCTGGAGATGCTCCAAGAACTACTTCTTTCGAGGTGAAATAGAAGTTACTTCTTCCCTTATAGTATTTTTACTGTTACATAATTCTTCGAAAGTATTCAGTATGTTTTGAGGAGGGTACTTCAATTTCTTAATGGGTCCAATTTGCGAAAGTAAAGTAGCGAACAGTAAAAATTAGCTCTGCTAACTCATTAGGAATTTAACATCAAATTTTCTCATCTCAGATCTTTGAGTAAAACGGGAAATGGGCCAGAGATGTCGTTTTACTGCTGTTTTTTCTTTTTTTTTT